TTTTGTAAATTTTTGTTTATATTTGAAAATAATTTTATTTGAAAGATTATCTTTGTATGGAACTTAAATCTGCGCTCGCTTGTCGTTCCCTTGTTTCTCTTTTTGCTAAATCGTCAAAACTACGAGTATAATCAAGAGTATAATATATGTTATTGCAATAAATAATACATATATGGTGAGAAAAAATTTAGATGTGATAATACATATAATGTCCAATAGTCATTTACAGCAATATTTAATAATTCAAGTTTAAACTTCAGGAGATTTGATTGATCATTCTTAGTAAAAATTGAAACAATTCTATTCACTTTAATTAATAATTTTCTAAATCTTAATCGACAACATAACTGGTTTAACATATATAATTATTTTACATAATTAATTAGTTTATCATCAGAGTGGGGACTAGGATATAAAGAATGAGGTACTTGCCTCATGTAAAATATTTAAAGGGGCGCAAAAATAGCAATATAAATTTCGATTTATTTTAACTTAGTCGCTATATTAACACACAATAACTATGCAAATCTACCATTGAACGTTAGCTATGTATATTAAGTGAAAATGAAATATATGTAAAGATAAAATTTTGATAAACTAATTGACAATTTTGCGACATCAAAACACGAAAAAAATATTACTTTAAATGAAAAATACATCTTCTATACATTTTTACGAGAATTAAAATATTATCATACAACCACAAAAATTTTTTTTAAATAAACTCAATTAAGATAGATGTTTCTTATAGATTTTGGATCACTAAATCCAAAGCCGTATTACTCCATAATTACATCCAGTTTTTTAAATAATCGAAAAAAATGATAGAAAATCTGTAAAAATTAAAAGAAACATTTGACAAAAGTGTAAAAATAATTATGACATTAAAGAATGGTTGTAGAACTAATTTAAATATATTTTGATAAGTTAACCTTTGAATGGCACACATGAATCATTTGTATCCGACTCGATATTAAAGTTTTTAAAATGCTCGAAAAATTCTGTAAAAATTACACATCTTGGGTCTCTACTATTCTGCTACATAGATGTTGGAAAAAAAGTTAGGGTGGCATAGAGTCAGGTAGGATAACTCCGGTATATACACTGCACCTATTAAAAATTTAATTTATTAAAACTTAATTTTACCTATGAGGTAAATTTAGTAATCCGCGCATGCGATTGGATAATCTTGCCACTTACTCAACAGGTAAAATTTACTAAAAGATCAACCGACCTAAGTATTATTTACTATGTTTAAAGTAAACGTACTATATCAGTAAAAACTTTGTGCTGTCTACTATTATAGAAAAAATATTAGAAATTTGAAATATTTATATTTCGTATTAAAAAATGAACTTTTTTAAAAAAGTTTTCAAAACCCTTGCATTTTTGCCATATATTCGATAGAGGTGAGATATATCTCCACTCATAGGGGGAGAGGAGTATGTACGGTTCATGAAAAATTTACAAATAATGCATATAAATAAGACATAAAATGACACAATAACTTATAAAATGCGTTTATAAAGTTTTATTAAAGAATAAGAATGATAAATATGAAGTAATAAATAATAATTACAATCTTTTCACATGTATTACAAGTGTTATGACATGAGGTACATATTTCATGTAATGCGTTTATTGCATTTAGTGCACTGAATTCAATCTGCGCATTTTGTATGCTTTGGGCATAAATCCCGCCCGCTAAAAATACCGTACATCCCAAACAGGTGGGATATACAAGACAACAAATTAAACAAAGAATACAAGAGCAAAGTACTTGTATCTTGTTATACAACATGCTTTATTATTCCTCTACACTCATGTATCACGAAATAACCATTAAGTCTTTTGTACGTCCTACAATAATCATTTTATGTAGATTATAATTTATGACGATGCTACTTAAAAAAAGTACTACACAGTGATAAATCGATTCAAACTCACAATAATTTCATTAATATTAACAGTAAGAAACTGAAATTATAGCACTATACTAATATAACATAAAGGCATGTAATAGAGAGTAATTACGGGAAAATTACCTTTACTCCTTCTATTTTTTCTGACTTTTGCGGCATAAATCCCAGCGCGGCGTATTTGCCGGAGTTACCCTATATGAGAAATAAGAATGTAAGAAAGTGCATGGACACAAATAACTTATGTGTGTCGTTAAACAAAGCGCAAGAAATAAAAAAAAATTTATTTTATTAATAATATCATGTATTGTAGCCAAGATTGTAGCCTAACACATCATAAAACAAATTAATTAAAATAGCATTGTACGACAAACAGTCAGGCGATTTGCGTGAGTATTATAGAAATTCTTTCAGAAATGGTTTTTAATTACTTTTTGTTACTTTTGAAAGATAAATTATGCAAGTTTAATAAATTAGAAAGTTAGTAGATTGATTAGTTTTGCCACTTTTACATGCAGATATTTTTAAATTTTAAACGAATATTTTTTAATACTTTACATCATTTTGAGACTCCAGCTATACTATTAGGGCAGCTTACAATAAAGCAGTGGTACCAGATGCAATTTTTGAGTCAATTTCTAAGATGACGCTTACGACTATATCTTCCACTCAAAGTTCAACGGTCGAGCCACTGATTGCATGTGTAACGCAATAAAAATTTTTTCTATTTTTTGTACTTTTTTATCTTATCAAAATAAATTTAAATCTACAATCTACAAATTCTACAATCGCATTTTAATGTCACATTTATTTTTGTTCTTTCTCAAATTTTTTTTCGATTTCCATCATTTTTCTCTAAAAATTATCTAAAAAACATGATAAAGCAAAAAAGCCGGCCTATAAATTTGAATTCAGTGACTCAAAATTTATAATATAAGAAACACCAACTCTTATTTATTTAAAAAAAATTTTTTGTGGTCTTGTGATTATGTATTTGTAACATACGCATATACACATAATCTGTGCTATGTGTATAACGTATACATCTGTATATGTGATTATGTATTAAATTAATATGAAATTAGAAAATGATTATGTTCCTATTAAATTAGATAGTATTAAATATCATTAATTAATATTAGTCTTTATTAAATTTTGCCTTTTACCTTGGACGCCAAAATGTCTAGTCTCGGCTCTGTTTATCATACACATATAGAGATCGAGACTGTATACATATACTGTATACATATACGTAATATGCACAAGAAATATAATATAGAAATGTTTATGTGGTATACCAATTTAAATAAAATATTACGCCTGAAAATTTTTGTTTTTTACTTTTTTTTTAATTCTTTAAAAAAAATATTACAAAATTATTATACAAAAAATTAAAAACACAGAATTATATCACAAAGTTTAGTTTTCATTTTCATCTTCCATTTGTTTTGAATGTTTTATGTACACTTAATTACTTGTATATTTAATAGATCTGTGGATAATAAACACTTTGAAGCTTTTGATTATTTTTATATTTTATATTGTATGTGAAAGATTTGTAAATGAATAATACAGGGTTGATGCATGTGTGCATATTTATGAATATCTGATAAGTAGTCTCTCTTGTAAATAAATATTTCAAGATTTTGACGCTATTAGTGCGATACAATATTATAATGATGATTTTTCAATTAATATATAACCATGTTGTAATATATAAAATATAATCCTTATATCATTGTATGTATGTATGTATTAGCATAACATTCTTAACTGCGTTCAACAAAAATGTATGGTATATATCGTAATGACTTGCAAGTGATATTCTAATTATTGATTATAATTTTATGAAACTTGAATCAAAAACGTAAATACGTAAATAATGTTTCATTGTAATACTTTATAGAACACTTTGCAAATTTTTTTAGTTTGTTACTCCTAAATTATTTCTAAATTAAATCAAAGTTTTAATGTTTACTCGTATGTTGCATGGGGTGCAAAAAAGAAATTTTCAAAGCATTGTTATTCTTCGTAAAATATTTTTAGCAAGATCGCGTATAATCTTATAAAAATATCTCTACTTAATCAGCCAAATGCCAAAACTTTCTCTTGATTAGTAAATAACAGATATTGTATTGAATCTATAAGACGTGTAAATTATATATTAAATAAGTTGAATATATGCCAAATGTTCTTGATCGATTAAATTTTCAATGACGATCATTCTAATATATTGACTATAATCAATTTTTAGAGAAAGGCTATAACATGTAAACATATAGCGTTTATAAATTCTATTACAATATCGTGATCATTAGATATATGAGATAAATTAATTGACAATTTACTTCAAGCATACTTTGGAATGTAAGTTTAATGTCTAGTAGATTAAATAATTATACTTTATATAATTTCTATATTAACTTAAAATTTTAAAACTTGAAACTATAAAACTATAATATAGATATAACTAGAATATTATCTTATTTAAATTGTATGTATTTATAATTAATTATAAGTACAACTCTCTCTCTTAGAAAAATAATATTTTAAATCGCTAACAACGGTTTTCGAATTTGAGATAAATTATGAGATGAATAAATTATGATAAATTATGAATATGTGTATAAGAAATGTATGTGTATATTTCAAATGCAAGATATCATATGGAATAACATAAAGAACTTTTACAATTTACTGTTATGTCATACATTAATAAAAACAAACATTAATAGTAACTTAATGAGAATTTTTAATATTAATACACGAAAAATACGAGCAATACATAGTAGATAATCTTTATAAAGTATACAATTATATTTATATATGTATACATACTATTTTGTTCAATTTTTATATTTCGGTTGTTATTGTTATATAAAGTTAAGTTTATTAAAATTGATATAATCAACATTGTGCGTATGTCAGTAATTTATTAATACAGATTAATTATATAATTACACATAACACACAGTAGACAAATTATAATATATTAATCCATATTAATAATAAAAGAGAGAAAGAAAAGATAGATTTAAAATTCATGTATTTAGAATTCATATATAATATTTTATTGTTTTCATAAGTTGAATTAATTATAATTATGATGACAAAAATAAACGACAATCGATATGATTTTCTTCACATTCGTCGCTGTTTGCTTCAAAATCCTTTTTAGATGGTAACCACGCAATCATTCGATGCATATAATTCTGCAATTTATTATTAAGAGATGTTTGCACTGCTTTTATGATTGGAGATGATTTGCATAGTAATAATCGAATGCAAGCAGAATCAGAGCCAGTCATTCTCGCTATCAACTGATTTGGTAAATTCGGATTCTTTGCTTGCTCAACTAAATTTCGAACCTATTAAATATAATTTTAAAAATTTGTGTTTTATGGATATATTTTAATTCTAAATATATTTCAATTACGCGTATATGTAATTAAAGTAAAAAAGTTCAAATATTAATATTTTTAATTAATATTAATTTTATATAACTTTTTCATTTATTATTTAAATCAAAATTGAAATCTCTCTCTTTTATTAGGAGTGTGATTTAATTTTAAGGGTTTTGCAAGAGCTGACACACACTAATAATACGATAATGTAAGGAAATACCAATATGATTCAACACTAATTCGTGTGTAATAATACATATATTATAATACATATATTATAAGAAATGACACTTAATGTCAGTGCTGTCGAAGACATTTCAATCACAGCTATTATTTCTTAATGCTTTAATATTACTCTATGATATTTAACCATTTAGTAATAATAAACGCAGTAAACATCGTGTTTATACCATTAAAAAAATGCAATTTCCTAAAAATCTTTTTCGACATGCGTTGCTTTTGTTTATTAATCAGGAGAAAACGGCAGCTCAAGATCATAGAATTTTGATAGAAATTTATGGTGATGTTGTTCCATCAATTAAGAAATACGAATATTATTTCTGTCAATTTAAAAGTGATGATTTCAATATTAACGGCAAAGGAAAATGCAAATTTGCAAGCATTATTGGATGAAAATCCAGCACAATCCACTTCAGAACTTGCCAGAGAATTAAATGTTAAAATCGTTACAAAATTAGTAAATGTTTACGTGATATGTTAAATTGTTTTTTAAATAAATCAGTTTTTGATAGAAAAAAAATCCTCAAAACTAAATTACACTCTTAATACATATATAATATTTCATATTTATAACAACTTACATTTTTATTTTTATTTTCTAAAGTAAATCTTAACGGATCCCATGCCAATTCTTCGTTGTCCATGCTTCTGGAAATGTTACTTTGCGACGATTTCAGTCCAAAAAGCGTACTTATCTGTCAAAATAAATAATCAAAACATCTTAAAGTTTATGAATATAAAAAAATATTACTGCTGTATAATGTAAATAATTTATATCTCATCACATATATCTTTACCATTTGTGCAAGAAATACAACACTATTGACTGCGATTGCTGCGATTTTTTGCGAATCAAATCCAATGAGTCGAAAGAATGCAGAAACAAAATTTGAAGGACCAAACGGTTGTTTTTTATTATTTCCGTTTTCTCTGCGTTTTTCCTTATGACCTAAACTCTTAGACACCAAGTCGGCAATGTCTTTAGCCGTCTCTAGATAGTTACTTGCATGCTGTAATCCTGCCTTTATCTTATCCAGAACATCTGATTGTGAAATTAAAAGTATACAATTGTTTTTATAACAATTTATTTAAAAATTTATCAGCTCACATACACATACACACACGCACGCACACACACACACACACAAATACTAAAGCTGAGATTTACAACAAAAAATTAATTCTTCGGAAAAAAAATAAACTCACCTTCGGTATTTGTAAGTTGCACTTTGTCAAATACAGTTATCCAAAGAATACAAAAGAGAAAACACGAAACGCTGGACATTTTGTCGAATCAAACTATTCAACAATACTGACAATGAGACTACTACCAAGAATCTTTGTAAAACAGATTATAACGGGTTTTGTGTTAATTATACTTTTATTCCGTTGCGTCTTCGCGACAAGCCCCTGTTGGGTCACCTATGCGATTGTCACTCTTCTTGCTTCGTCAGCCAAGCGTAAGAAAACGGCATCCGTGTTTCACAGTACGATTTAGTCGCGTTTCTATCAGAAGCCAGTAAAAAGTTGACTAAAGCACTAAGACATTTCAAATTTACATAGCTGTCATCATCGTATTTGAAGAAAAGGTATAAAAAGTGTTTTTTATATAATTGTTTAATTTTTGCTATTCTAAATTAAAATATTTAAATAAGTGTCCGTTTTTCTACTATATTACATATTGGAAATAAGATATATTATAACATGTTAATATAATAAAAATTAAGGAGAAAGAGAGAGAGGAAGAATAAAAAAGTGAGAGAGAAAGAGAGACAGAGTAAGTGCAAATACTTATATTTTAATATTTATATCTTAATAACCTCAAATTTTTGAATATTCAGGTATGTATTACAGTTTGTTAATACTTTATACATATTACATTTTGAAAATGGCATCTGGAGATCAATCATCTTTATATCTGAATGAGATTCGCAGTTTAAGCGAATTACCGATGAATAGACTGATTCACTTAAGATCTTCTCTTGCAAACAATAATGGTAAATCATTGTAAATCTTTTTCATTTAATAATTTATTATTAAAATGTAAGGTCGACAGATTTAAACGAGCAGAAGATAATGACGATTAATTTATTCTATTATTCCATTTCTTATGAGATAGGTATACATATATACAGCACGTACGTTTCAGACTTAATTTAGCTCTTCTTGGCAACTCAAAAAAATTACATAAGTTTAATATAATAGACCAAATTGTTAAAGGATCTCATCTTACATACAAACGCCACAAATGTCACATAATACTCCTCTACAGTGTCAGTAGACAGTCATAATATACGTTAAAATCCATATTATAAAACTCGTACTGTAAATCAATTCTTCGGTCTATGACGAGAATGGCTAACGTCAAATTATAAAAAATTATATATGTATATACCATCAAGTTAACGGTAATGTGGATACATACGATGTCATAATTTAATTATGATTAGAGAGGTTATAAACAAGAAATAAGAGAAGATTGGAAGTACATGTTGAAATAAGAAATATAAATTATATGATCTTTATCGCATGAACGCCTGACGTTGAAACATCGAGTGGCTTATCGCTCGGTGCGATTGACTCGCACCGAGCGATAATCTGTAAATCTGGGTTCAATCCTATCTGCGCCCACTGTCCACATGTACGATTTTTGCGTTTTAAGGAGCTCAAAATATAACTCCACCTGGTTTTACGCTTGCAAAGCAAAAATTTCTAATTCTTTCTTGAACCAAGCTACGATTAATAGTATTCGAAAGTAACAGAGAGCATGCTCATGAGACTGTTCAACAGCGAAATTTTTTATCTGCCTGATATATTGTAATAATTTTACACAAATACGCTTAATTAAATTAAAAATATTTTATTTATTATAGGGGAGAGTAGGGGTAGCTTTGAACAGTTTCCTTCTAAATTATTATGTAATGAAATTATTTGTATTTTTGTTGTGCTAATAGTTACTACAGATATTGAGTACCACTTGAGTTTTATTTTTTAATTTAATACAGCAGTTTTTTTTCAATACGTATTATTTAGGTTTTACAAATATAAATATAAAAATGCTTCTTTTCGAAAAGCACGCACTGTTAGTGCTTTCTTTACCTTTTTTTAAAAAAGGTAAGTTTATATACTATTAAAGTTACTATGACTTTCTTTTTAGGTTTATTAATAAATGTAACGACAATAGTCGTCTATATTAATAATAACTCAGATAGCAAAATGTTTGCAATCTTCTAGCAAACTGTTCAGCAGATTCGAGTAGTCTGCCATCAACTGCGTCCGCATTAAGCTTGTGTTAACATCGCCTATAATATAATGTGAAGGCAAATTGTTAGCAGAAATTGAGCAGATCCTGCTGACATTATCTGCCGTTTGCAGATTCTGTTACATTTTTTCTAACAGTCTATCAACAGTATTATGTACTAATTCTGTTGTTATTTTGTTGGCATAGTGTGTAGCAGATATTTAAAAAATCTACTTTCTACAGACTTGGCTATCTGGAAAATTAACATTACATTGCATTAACAGAATTTAATTTGGCGCCAGTTGCTGATCAAACTTTTATATCAATAATAGATACATATCACTAGGGTTAAGTAAATCTACAAAGTAGATTTAAAAAAATCCCAGCACCACTCTCATCGTTTTATAACAGTATATAATATAAAAATATCAAGTTAAATATCACGTCGATGGTCATCTGTAATAAAAATATTTTTAAAGATAAATATTACTAGATATTACTTTTTTTTAGAAGGCTGAAATAAGAAGGCAGTAGAATTTAACTTGGCACCAGTCAATGCAAATTTTTTTTACAAATGATACATATATATTACTAAAGTTAAGTAAATTTTGTGACAATAATTTTCATGTAATAATTTTTGAAGGAGAATTAAAGCTATTATAAATATGATATATTAGATATATAGATTAGAGAAACCTTCATATTATTACTTGAATCAGAATAAATAACTTTTACTGAAATTCCCACTGTTGTCTTTACCTTAATTGTCATGCAAAACTTTTAATTAATAATAATATAAAAAAAATAGAAAAGCATATAAGAGTCAAATTTGAACAATGAATGTACAATATATAATGTAAACCGTTTAAAATCTGTACATGTGTTCTTAATTTTTGACTATAATATATTTAGCAACAAATTACATTACGTTACATGTTTTGGCATCATGATTGTGCTATCTTCAGATATTCAAAAAACAAAATAAAAAAAACACGCAAAAAGTAATAAAACGTAGGATAAAACTGCAGAAAAGAGGAGCAACTGCCGACTACCTTAACCTTGACATATGTTGTCATGACCTTGAGCAACCTTCAACAAATTTTAGCCGTCACTTGTTATTTGTTAAAAAGTTATTACGAAAAAAAACTTAAAAAAATAACGTTTTATTTCTGCTTAGAGGCGCATGACTTCCGCGCAAAGCAATTCCCATCCCACTTTCCCCTTGCTTGAGAGCACATGACTTCCACGCGAAATAACTCCCACCCTACTTTCCCCCCTGCTTGGAGGCGCACAATTTCCACGCAAAGCGACTCCCATCCCACCTCCCCACCTTATTTGGGGACACACAATTTCCACGCAAAGCGACTCCCATTCTATCTTCACGCTTCATTTGGAAAGTCATTACGTAAGCAAGGAAGGGTATAAGATAGTTTGTAATATTACATAATAGCAGAAATAAAACGTTATTTTTTCAAACTTTTTTTGTTAATAACTTTTTAACGAATAACTTGTTAGGGGTTGCTCAGAGTCATGACCTTGACAACATATGTCAAGATCAAGGTCGTCGGCGGTTGCTCCCCTTTTCTGCAGTTTTTCCAAACGCAGTAATAAAACAATTTTAATTAACGTTTAATCTACATTTCCTGCAACTTATGAGCTGATAGTATTCAGAAAAATATAAATGATCTTTTTCTTTTTAAATTTTAAATTTTCGACTTTGTTTTTGCATCTAAGTAAGTATTATTGGTAAATAACCTTTTTGAATTTCCTAGAATTTTTATTTTTGCTTTTACCTTGATTCTCACCAAAAGTTTTTAATTGACATTTATTCTATATTTCTTGCAAATTATGAGTAGATAGCATCTAAAAAAGTAATAAAATTTTCTCTTTTTAAAAATTTTTAAACCTTCGACTTTGTTTTCATATCATTTTTGTAGATAAATATTATTGGAAAATTATTTTTTTCTAAATTTCCTAGAATTTTAATTTTTGCTTTTATCTTTATTTTCACGCAAATCATTAATTAACATTTATTTTGTTTTCTTGTAAATTATAAGCAAATAATATTCAGAAAAATAGTATAGGTTATAGATTTCTTTATGGTTTTAAAATTATAAACTCCGCAGTAGAATAAAATAGAATTTATTGTTCCCCACAAGGTTACAATTATCTTAACTATCTTTAAATCTACACCGCTTTACGTCTCTCTTTACATTTCTCTCTTCTTATATACTATCGCTTATCTTATAATCAATCTCCATCTTATATTCTATCGCTGCTCTCTCTCTCTCCACGCTCGTTAAGCTTGTTCTTGCCTTATACTTTACTCTATTTTAACATTTGTTTACTTATTCTAATATATTTTATTACTCTACACATTATACCACTACACAATTCTACAATTTTTCACCGCTTATATAACATATGGTTGGACTTCCGCTTCCACACATACTCTCACCCTCTTCCTCTTTTTGACTTTCTCCCCTCCCCCTTTCTTTCTCCTTCCCTCTTTCTCTCCTTCCCTTTCATTTCTGCTTCCTCTGCTCACTCTTTCTTCTTCCTCTCTTTCTTTCTCCACTTCTTTCATCCGTGCTTCTTCTTTCCTTCTCTTTCCTAACATCTCTATGATTCTGTCTTGTCACAATCCTCCTCCTTTTTTCCATACCCTACATCTCTCCTAAGAGTCTTCTTCACTTTTACAAAGCCTATTTTTTCTTTTCTTCTTCTTCCCAATATTTCCTACTCTTTACTTCATTCCCCATTCTAAATCTGATAATTCTTTTCCATCTACTTCTGCCCTTTCTTCAGATATTGTGGTATTCCTTTACCTTTAATTCCTCCATACCAACGATTATATTTTGAATTCTTGATTTTCTCCTATCTTTCTATTCTCTGTAATTCTTTTTCTCTCTCTACTAGTTTCTCCCCTTTATCCTCCTTTCCTCTTTCATTCCTTTCCCCTTTCCCTAAAATAATCTTCTTTTTCTTTTTTCCATCTCTTTTCCTTTTTTCCTTCTCTTTTTCTTTTCCTTCCAACATTTTCTCACTAGCTCCCCTCCTTTACCTTCTCCCAGTCTTTTCTCGAATTTCCATTGCTCTTACTCTTGCTCTTCCCTTTAATTTATCTCTATCTATTTCCTCTCTTATCATATATCCCGGTGTGCCTCTTTCTATCCCCATTATCCATCTTAAATATCTCTCTTATATCTTCTCTATTTCTTCTCTTTGTTTCCATCCCCAAATCTCCACTCCATCACTCATTATCGTCTATACCAATGTCAAAAAGTCACATTCTTTTTCCCCAATCCTTTCCAAATCTCATCTTTCCTATCCCCCATACGTGACCAATGCTGCCCCTTTCCTTATCCTCTTCTTTATGTGTGTCTTTTGTCCTCCGTTCTTTTTCATCATAAATTCCAAATATTGTATTTAAACTATTTCACTTTCTCTAACCTCTTACCCTTCCATCACCACTTTCTCTTCTTCATCCTTTTACCTCCCTCCCTAAACTTCAGAATTTTTGTTTTCTCCCTATTTAATTCTAATTTTTTTCTCGTCTAAATATCTTTCTAACCTGCTTAACGTACTCCTCATATCTTCCTCCTTCTCTGCTAACATCACAATATCGTCTGCATACGCCAATGTATACACTTTTTTTCTCCTAATTTCACTCCTCCTCACTTTCCCTTCCTCATCTCTTCTTCAATGTCCGCTATCGATATATTAAATGTGGACTTAGTGGGCAGCCCTTATTCTCTTCACGGTTCAAAATTACTCTCCTTTTTCCATTTCTATTTTAAATTTTTTTTCTAAATCCCTCACTATTTCTAATCCCTTTTAAACTAATTCCTCACTTCTTCCTTTTTTCCTCATTTTTTCCCTATACAGAGTGATTCAAAATAAACTTTTGCCCTTAAAATGTCGTATTCTCGAGTTAATTCTGAGATTTTTCCTCTTCGAAAATTTTGTCGGATGCTTAGTTTTTGAATTATTAAGAGAAATAGTTAGCGAATCACGGGTCAAATACAAGAGATAGGCAGAGACGATGTAACTGACCGTCAGACGCGAGTGCTTACGCGAGACGATTGCTGTGATCAACTTAATGGTTTCACACAATAGTACACGCACACACGTTAGTACATTTTTGAAAAAGAAATATCTCAAATTAGGAATGCAGGATTCTCTCTCTCTCTCTCTCTCTCTCTCTCTCGCACTC